ACTCGCTTCACAGTCATGTAAAAGCAACTGTCATCACCCCACACAACACTCACTTGGAATCACAGGCCTGGCTGGACGCAGTCAGGACCAGCCCTGGCTTCGCCAGTGGCCACTTCCACCTGAGAAAGCAACTCAGGATTCTGTACACAATAAAAGCCCTCATTCTGGTGACTCTTGCCGTTGTCCTCCAACCTGGGATTCGACCTGATGATTGTATTGATCCAGGCACAACCATTACTTAGACCCCTACAGACCTCACTTTCTGTTATCTAAAGTACTAAAGGAAATATTTTTTGCGCACGTTTCGTATAAAAATATATCAGAATTTATCAGGTCATAAAAACCAATGGCAGAATTGTATTTGCTTTCACGCGACCAAACGGGTGCGCATTCACAAGCCAGCATTCTGTTATGACTAAACTGCTGTTAGATTAAGCTGCAGTGGTCGAGCAGTCCACAACGTGTCAATAGTTGCTGTGTCTTCATATAAAAACTCGCAGGTGGGTAAAACTTCATTCTGTGAGTATATGGGTTTCGCCGATCTTGTAGGGGAATAATTGAGTTCGACGAAACAAAGGGAGACCGGAATGGCCATTTCTGGCTTGTAGCCGAATAGTAGGGCCGTGGAGCGGTAAAATCAATGACCATAGGTCCCGGGTTCGAATGTTGGGGGTTCCAACCCTTGAGCTTTGGTATGACTGGCTAATGATGGCTAACAAGCCAGAAACGGCCATTCGGTTTTCCCTTTGCTTTGCCGGATCCTTTCTATCCTATCCCCATAGTCACTACGTGACACACACACACACACACACACACACACACACACACACGACTGCCTGCGCGGGCTCTAATTGTGAGCTACTGGGCAAAGCGAAACTTACTTGTTCCTCTACCAGATCGGCGAAGCCCATCTACTCATCATATTCCCGACCCCGACCGACGACGAACAGAGCCCATAGTGCAATAGTAGGGTAGTAAACTCAATGACCAAAGGTTCCGGGTTCGAATT